CTCCCTGCGCCTCCTTCTTCTCGGCCGCGATGCCCTTCTTCTTGACGTACATGTGATGCAACTCCTCCTCCGAGCGATCCATTCGTACCTTTTTGTTGACATAATCCTCTTTAAACTCATTGCTGCGGGAGATCTCCTCGAAGAGGGCAGTGATCTCTCGCGGGTTCTTCATGGCGATGGACTCGACGGCGCCCTGATATACCAAGAAGTTGCGCGCCTTCACGTTGATGCCCAACCGCTCCAATCGGGTCGCGTAGTCCTGTTTGGACACCACATTCTCGTCGATGCGGTACTCGGAGCTCGAGTGGAGGACCAGCCGCTGGAAGCGAGTGATCCGATTGGTGTCCGCGTCCCTGTAGACCAGACACACGGACGCCTGTGTGCCCACCGGGCGCCCGATGGACGCGCCGTGGATTAGTTCCGACAACTTCTTCACTCGAAGATTGTTGGTCTTCTCCCCCAACACGAAACTGATTGCGTCCATGAAATTGGATTTCCCGGAACCGTTGGGTCCGATGACAGCCGTGAACTGCTTCAGCGGTCCGATCCGCTGGTGTCCCGAATAGGACTTGAAGTTCTCCACTTCGATGAACTCCAGAAATCCCGGCATTTCTGCGCCGATGAGCTGATCCGAGACGATGAGACACTAGCTATGAATGGCAAACACTATGACCGCGATTATCACGTGCACATCGTGTGGGCGATGTCTTGGCGTTGGTGTCAATGACACAGAAATGAGTGGATGATGGCTGAATCGGTGGTAAATGACAATTGGATCCAATGATAGCAACACTTATCACTCTTCAGCCGATGTTTTGATTGACAGACAAATGGCGGCAAATGAGTAACGCATGCGTTCACTGCTGTACCCATTCACGTGTTGGACCTTTTTGTCAGTATAGCGCTCGTTGAATTCATAGCATATGGTGTGCACCCAAATGGACCCATATGTTCGCAACCATACACTCGTGTATTGAACTTTGTGTTTGTGTTTTGCTTTGGATTTTGTTTTGTATTTTGAAAATCTTTTTGACATTTATTCGCAAATTGTTTGAAATGTGTTTCAAATCTAATGTTCAGATAATGTGACAAAAGTTTTCACACGATTTAAGCCACTGATTGTCACCTCAATTGATGCCCTATTTATTGATATGATATGATCGCGACAATTGTCTGCCAAACGGATCCCAGTATTTGAGTTGACGATCGCATTGACAGCCATTTGGTGAGCCATACGTACCATCGATGAGATGATGAACGAAGAGATCGGTGACGATAAGAAGGCTTCGGGACAGTCGTCGGCCAATCATAAGTTCACTCTTCAGGAGAGGATTGAATTAATAAAAATCTTTTACAGCGGAAAGTCTCTCAAACAGACGGCGCGTGTGTTCGCCGAAAGACACCCGGATTGCGATCATTTGCCCACTTCTTCGGGTATCACACGACTGGTCCGCAAGTTTGAGACGACAGGTGAGTGACCGGATGTGCATTACTGGCGCCCACGTGTTGATTATATCTGTATTTTAGGCTCAGTTCTCGATAAGCGAATCCCCGGCCGCCCGAAGACCAGTCGCGTGCAGTTGTCGGCCAAGCAGTCGGAGATCAGTGCGTGTGATTGGCCCGGATGTCAGTACGTGAGCAA